GTGTGTGTGTGTGTGTGTGTGTGTGTGTGTGTGTGTGTGTGTGTGTGTGTGTGTGTGTGTGTGTGTGTGTGTGTGTGTCGCAACTCTTCAGCACACCGCCTGTCTCCTCTTCATTATTGCGCCTTTCACTCACCTCATCCCAACACCCCTCGCCCCCTCCGTGCGCCAACACCACCAGCATCCGGCACACGATTGTGCTTGATGACCCCTTTGATGACCCGCCTGGTCTGCCCGTCCCGCCGCAGTCTCCGCTCCCGACACGCGAGCAGATTGAGGTGCCGCGCTGTGGGAACTAGCTGAGTTTGGGGTTGAGGCTGGGGTCTGGGTTGGTTCTTTGTTTGGATTTGATTGGTTGACTTGCTGGTTTGGTTTGGTTTGGTTTGGTTTGGTTGGGTTTGGTCAGTTGCTCGCTTCCACGTTTGGTCTTTCTTTCGTTCGTGGCTGCTGTCATGTCCATCCACCTGTCTCATTATCATCATCACCACCACCACCAACGCCAACGCCGTGTCGACTGCAGGCTGGGCTGATTGGGGAGGACGAGGAGATCAACGAGTTTGAAGGGATGGACGAGACGGAGGTGGAGGAAATTATGCGCAAACGCGAGGCTCGTGGCCGTGCACAAGTCCTCGAGATGGTAAGGCTGACGACAGGGGATGGTTGAGGATTGAGAGTTGATGTGTGTGTGTGTGTGTGTAGTTTTGTTTGTACTTGTCATCGACCCCATGAACATGCATCTCACTGCACTTTATTTGCACACGCACACACACACACACACACGCATGTAGGTTGGAGACCTGCCTGATGCGGACATCAAAGCGCCTGAGAATGTTCTGTTTGTGTGCAAACTGAATCCCGTCACCACCGACGACGACCTTCGTCTCATCTTCTCCCGATTCGGGAAAATCCTCAGCGTAAGTCCCCTTGTGATTGCGTGTGCATGTGCCTGTGCATGTCTGTGTCTGTCTGTCTGTCTGTCTGTCTGTCTGTCTGTCTGTGTGTGTGTGTGTATGTGTGTGTGTGTGTCTGTGTGTGTTGATGTGTGTGTGCGCTGCATTCACTTGTGCGAATCCCCTCATGCTCGCCAAGCCTATCTCACTCATCCCATGACACCCACCCCCACTACACACACACACACACACACACACAAACACAATGCCACTGCCGCCGCCGCTACTGGCAGTGCGAGATTATCCGGGACTGGAAGACGCAGGAGTCGCTGCAGTATGCGTTTATTGAGTTTGAGGACAAGGCCGCGTGCGAGGAGGCGTACCTCAAGATGGAGAATGTGCTCATTGATGACCGCCGCATCCACGTCGACTTTAGCCAGTCCGTTGCGAAGCTCAAGGACTACAACCTCCCAAAGGGGTGGAAGATGAAGGGCAGCGCTTCGGCCAAGGTGCGCAGTGGCATGGTCTGGTAAAGCGGGTGTTTTGTGTGCCTGTGCGATTGTGTGTGGGTGTGTGTGTGTGTCTGTCTGTCTGTCTGTGTGTGTGTACGATTGTGTGTGCGATTGTGTGCAGCATGGTTGATTCATCCAAACTTACAGCTTCTTGCTGTACCTTTCTTCATGCTAATCCGTCTCTCAAAACCACGCTCCAGGGCGGCCGTGAGAGCCGCGATCGCCGCCCACAACACCACGAAGCGCAGCAGCACCAGCAGCAACACCAGCAACTTCAGCAGCAGCAGGGGCGTGTTCATCGTGACGATGACGCCGATGATGATCGCCATGAGCGGAGAAGAAGGGATGATCGCGGCGGAAGTGGCCGGCGAAGCAGAAGCAGAAGCAGGGACAGGAGGGAACGAAGCCAAGAGCGAAGCAGCAGACACCGTCGCCATCGCAGCCGTAGTCGTGATCGTGATCGTGATCGTGATCGTGATCGTGGTCGTGATCGTGATCGTGGTCGTGATCGTGATCGTGATCGTGATCGTGGTCGTGATCGGCACCGTCGTCACCATCGCGATGACCGGCATGACCGGCGCAGGCACGAGAGGAGACATTGACCGTGCCAAGGAGGTGGTGAGGAGGGGGGGGGGCAATAGTCGGCGTGTGGAGTGCAGCGTCTTGGGGGGGTGTGTGTGTGTGTGTGTGTGTGTGTGTGTGTGTGTGTGTGTGTGTGTGTCGTGTGTGTGTGTGTGTGTCACACCATCGAGCGCGCGCGCGCGCGCGTGAGAGAGATAGATATATATATATACATATATATATAGAGGCAGACACGGGCGTAGGTTGCGTCAGTGTCTTTTTTTTTTTTTTCTTTTTTTCACTCACAACAATCACAGGCGAACAGGAAGGGACAGTGGTCGGGATAGAAACGTAAAAATATATATTTATATTGATCACGTGTGTGTTCCTGATTACGTCGAGAGGGCAGAGGCACAATGGAGAGTAGTGAATAAAATAATTATTTGTGATGATGTGCGGTATGAGAGCGGGAAGTCATACGAATCCAAAGATGAACACAGTCATTAATACGTAACTTCGCTCACAATGCTCTCGGTAGCAGAGGGGGAGG